GCATTCCTGGCTCCTTGTCCAGTGCTCAGGTCATTAGAGCATATCTTTTTCTCAGTAGCCAGGCATTTCGAACATGGTTAATGCTCCCTTTCACAAGAAGGAGAAGGAAAAGCAATCTTAAAAGGAGGCAGATAAGGTGGTGCCATATGTCCCCCCACCCCACACACAAATTATAACACAGATAGTCAAAGCTGCTGTAATTAATACTGCATTTTCTATTGGAACTTTCAATCAAGATCCTAATGATACAGTTGAGAAGGGAGCAATCTGACCCAACACATGACTCTCCTCAGTAAAATACTGTGCTTTGCATGTTGGATTCTGACTCTAGGTTCTAGCACTGCTTCTCTTCGTATCTTTCAGCCACATTACATCTGTACACTGCCACTGACTGGCATGCACTTGACTGCCAAGAGTATCTGCATCCTGGTTTTGGCAGCTCTGTTTCTATCTGCTTAAGATTGTCTGTCCTTCCTTTAATATCATTTCCTTTCCCCTTCCTTATGATATATGGCACCAGTTGTGTAATTCTATTGGTTTCGTTTTGGGTCATGTTTGTTGTTTTTTTGCTCATATGATTAATTTACATACTAAGAGTGCTAAAAAAATCCACCTTTTATTTATGGGAGCAAGCTAAGCTAACAATTGAAGAGCAGATTTCATGGATTCTCTACAGCACATAAGAGTAATGCCATCTAACAAAGATACATACGTCATCTGCATCCTCCCTTTAGTCTTATTACTACACCATTGTGATTTATACACTGCAAATGGCAATAGAAATACAACACTTGCTCCCATTAATAAAAGATTTTTTTCTGCTTTTTTTTTTTTTTTTTTTTTTTGAGGAAATAGCACAGTGTTTCTTTTAGTCCTGCTCTATACTAGGGCTTTATTTCAAAATAATCCCCCTTAGGTTGAATTTATAAGCGGAGGGTCCACATTACCAAGTCCGTTATTTCAAAATAAGGGGCTGCTTTACTTCGAAATCTGTACTCCTGCTTTTCTCAAGGAATAACACTAATTTCAAAATAGTTATTTTTAAACAATGGCAGTGTGGACACTCCAATGCCACTATTTCGAAATAACTACTCCCCAGAGTTATTCGAACTAATTACTCCCCAGTGCTTCCTAGGGTTCAAGTTGAGGTGGGAGTTAAGTTGAATTGAGTTATGGAGAAATAGTTTCCTTGTGTAGACATGGCCTTAGAGACTCATGCTATATTTAGACTGCAAGTTTTTTTTTGAAGAATCTTTTCCGGAAGAGGTCTTCCAGAAAAGCTTATTTCAAAAGAGAGTGTCCACAGAGCAAAAGCGCAAGGAAAAAGCAATGTGCTTTTTGGAAAGATAACGTCCACACTGTTTGGATGCTACCTCGCATTTAAGTTGTGATTAGCATGAACTGAGTGGCCACCAGGGCACCTGTGTTATTTCCTGGAGGCCTCTTTCAAAGAACTCCCTCTTCTGCATCCACACATGCCTTTTTCCGAAAAAACTTTTTTGGAAAAAGGCTTCTTCCTTGTAGAAAGAGGTTTACTGCTGTTGGAAAAACCCCTCCATTCTTTTGACTTTCTGTCAAAAGCACACAATAGCAATGTTTTTGCACATGGTTTGCTACTTAATTCAAGGAGCTAAGTGAAATTTCCGTTGAAAATTAACTGGGCTGCTGCTGAAGTATAGTTTTTCTGGAAAAACACTGCAGTGTAGACATGTCTTCAGTGAGGGATACTGTAATGTTGTTGGCCCCTTTTGCATATTAAACACTTGACAGAACACAAGAAAAGCTTTAAAAATGAAACATTGAACTGGAAAAACTGTTTAACTTCGGACATTAACAACCCTGATGATTACAGTAAAAATAGTGATGGTGAAGCACTGTGTAGCACTGGCTACAGACAAACAACATGAGAAGGCAAGACACTATAAAGTAATGAACAAAATAAGTTACTTTTGTTCTGAATAAGACATATCATGTATAAGCAGTATACAAACCCCTTATAGAAACTAAGAATTAGATAATCATATAATAGCAGACAATGCACTATAAACGTAACTTGCCTATCCATTAAAATAACTTGGTTATTTTGGCTCGTTACCCTTGTTATTAAGCTACTGGAGCCAGGATAGTCTTTAGTAATATCTCTTTCTTGCTTTTGGGACCTTCCTTAATCAGAACTCACATTGAAATGAGGAAGGGGCTTTGGCTGCATAAGGAACACTGAATAGGCCTATTTGCACATAGTTTGCTACTTAATTCAAGTAGCCAAGTGAAATTTCTGTTGAAAATTAACTGGGCTGCTGCTGAAGTCCTTCCTCAAGATCTCAGGTGATAGGTTTTTACATAATACAGTGAAAATATCTATTTATATTTTATTTTTACTTTATTAAAGAAGTTTATGCTACTAATTTAATTTCAGTGAACAAAAGGAAAAAAATAAAACAATTTTTTAAACAAGTTTAAAATATTTCAATGAAAAGCTACTTATAATACATTTCTGAAACTTTTGCAGCTCACATAATGTTAGCATTAGAACAAGAAAGTGCAACACATCAGACTTGTTTCATTGCTCAAGCTGAAAATTATGTAAAAACCTCACACACAAGTAAATGGTGCAGAGTTAGATTTTTCAATTCTTTCAACATTAACATATTCACGGTTTTATCTATAACTCAGTGAAACCAATGCAGATTTCATAATTTTAAGTAGGAAAAACGTAAAAACAATGTTGAGGTGCGCATGAAATTTAACATTGTCTTTTTGAATATATGTATTACAATAATTTTTAATTTCACGATCACTTATTTCATAAATACAGTAACATTCATTTTCAAGCGTACATCAGTCTGAGGGATGTCATTCATTTCCGTCCCAACATTATCTATGCTCTACACAAACTTTGGTTCCCTCTCTTTTTTATTGTTAAAAATATAAGAAATTAATTATGAAACTGCGCTTATAGAAAGAGTTTGGCACGTTAAAAAAAAAAAGAATCACGAGACATTTTAAAGTTTCAATGTGTCTTTTTTTTTTTTAATCAAACATTTTAGATCTTTTCCAACATATTGTGTCTCCTGTTAGGGCATGGACATGTTGAACAGTAACAGCTGGCTGAAACTTTTCACTACTGCCATACTTAATTTGGATTATGTTGTGTAAAAAGTGTGTGCTGTTTATACACATAGTTGCAGACACAGTGCTACCATAGGCTAAACTTGGGTGTATGAGTGTGCCAAAGACATCATGATAGTCTGATACAGGGAAAAGACTAAGCTTACAAAAGACTGAAAGCCTTCTGCACAATGGTTACTGTCCTCATGCCCACAGTGATCTCTTTAAATGGAACTTGAGACCAGTTGGCATCTCTCAGAATTATGCCCTAAGCCTAACAAATCTAGTGGCAAACTCTCAAGTACACACTACCAAGAGCCTGTACGAAATCGATGTCTTAAAGAAGAATAGAACATAACAGAAAAAGGAGACTGAAAAAGCCCAGACTTGGGAAATCATGAGCCTTCACCTGGTTATATACTGAACACCCCCACACATCCCATGTGCCAGCTAATCACAAGCTAATCACAAGCCTGACTCCCATCTGCTGGAGAAGATCCAAGATTTTAATACACATCAGGGATAAAAAACTTTAGAGGGGTAGCCAAGTTAGTCTGTTACAGGAAAAAAACAACAAATGGTCTGGTAGCACTTTAAAGACTAACAAAACATGTAGCTGGTATCATGAGTTTTCGTGGGCACTGCCTACTTCTTCAGAAATCCGGTCAACTTTTTAACAAGTTTTGTTAGCCTTTAAAGTGCTACCGTACTATTTGCTGTTTTTTAAATTTAGCAGGGATAAAGTTCATGTTCCATCTTCACCACTATCTTAAACTTTTTTGTAACCTTGTTAAGGAATCGATTTACAGTGCGCTTCCCTGGGCCTCAACTCAGGTGCCTGAAAAGCCACAGCAGGATTGAAACATTAGTGGCTTTGCTACAAATTTACCTGTGTGTTTACAATATAAACTTTCATGTGTGTACACATCTATCAGGATGACTAATGAAAGCCAATATCTGCATATGGTCCTAAAGGGAAGCTCATTACTGCTGTCAAGCTATTATCATTAAATCGTCTGGCATTTTAAAAGAGCTAAAGTTGATAAAAGCAGAATTCATCTAAGGACAACAATATCCCCACCGAGTCTTCACAGTTGCGTGAACCTTAAATATCAAATGGCTCTTTCTGCTTAAAAGCTAGGTCACTTATCTGCAAAAATTATATTTAATGCTTCATAAATATAGGGCTTAAAACAAAAGTGCTTCTAATCAGATCTGGCATGAAAAGAAGAAATGCATAGAATGAGGTAAGTGTGATCTTACCCCGCTGAAGAACAGGAGATGGCAATGCGTCAGCACATGACTCACACAGACACTAAACAGTAGAGAGCTAGAGATAATTCTCAGGTAAACTTTGCACGAGCCACTACGTCATCCCTCTTTAACCTTGCTGCATTAATCATGTCACAAATAACTTTATGCAACCCAAGAAGAATGTCTGATTTACAGGGAGAAGGGTAATGTTAACAGAACAAACACTTTGGCATGTCAAGAAATGCAAGACCAACCAGAATTTCATTTCAATTCCTTAACACACCCCAGCAGAAAATAAATCCTTTCCATTCCATAGGAAAATTGCCAGTTCAGGGATTACTGATTAATCAGTTATTGAGAATACAATAAATAATAAAGATGTGCAAATGGGGTGGAGTAAAAAGAGTCTGCTTGAACATGTAACTCAAATCAAAACTTTGTTTTGGAGCTTGTTAAGAAAGATGACAGTGTCTTTCATGGCAAGCGGGCCAGCGGGCAGCTGGAAGTATACACAAAAAAGCCAATCAAAAGAATCCCTCTGTTCAGGGGATTCTTGACTAGTCAGAGAGAGCAAACTTCTGAGATTTCACATAGAGGCCATACATAAGTATGGTCCAGGGTAAACAGGGATTGCTGAGCCCTGTTCATTCCATAAATGATACCTCTAACGGCACAGGAAGAATTCTGATCTTAAGAACAGAAGGTGTCTTCTTAGAAGGTGTCTGAAATTGTTGTGATCCTTTCCATAACATGACACCTGTGAATCAGTGATACAGAATCATGAAATCATAAAAATGTAGGACTGGAAGGGACCTCAAGAGCTCATCAACTTTAGCCTCTGGCAGTAAACCCAGACCACTCCTAACAGGTGTTTGTCCAACTTAATCTTACAAACAAACCCCCAATGACTGGGATTCCACCACCTCTCAGGAAAGTCTATCGCAGTGTTTAATTACTGCTATAGGTAGAAAGTTTTTCTTAATACTTACCTAAATCTCCCTTACAGCAATTATGTCCATTACTTCCTGTCCTGCCTTCACAGAACATGTTGAACAATAGATCCTTCTCTTCTTTATAATATCTCTTATTTGAAAACTATTACTCAGACTTCTTTTCTCAAGCGTAAACATGACAATTTTTTTTAACCTTTCCACATAGGTCAGGTTTTTTTAAACTTTATCTTGTTTGCTGCTCTCCTCTGGACTTTCTCCAAATTGTCCATTTTTCCTAAATTTTAGTAGCCAGAATTGGACACAGTACTCCATCTGAGGCCCCACTAAAGCTGAGTAGAACAGGATAATTACCTTCTGTGTGATAGACATGACACTTATATGAACAAATCTCAGAACAGCAGCAGCCTTTTTCACAACTGCATCACACTGTTGACTGTCATTTGTGATCCACTTCACCGCTCAGATCATTTTCAGCATTACTACCATACAGCGAGTTAGTCCTCATTTTGTAGCTGTGCCTTTGGGGTATTTTCCCCCTAAGTATAGTATTTTTCTCTTGTATTTTCTGAAATTCATCTTGCTGATTTCAGACCAATTCTCCAATTTGTGAAGGGTCATTTTGAATTCAAAACCTATCCTTAAAAATGCTTACAATCTCTCCCAGCTTGGTGTCACCCATACATTTTATAAGCATACTCTCCACTCTCTTGTCTAAGTCATTAGTGAAATACTGACTAGTACCAGACCAAAGACAGATCTTTACAGGACTCAACTAGATACATCCTGGCAGTCTGACAGCAAACCACTGATAGTTATTCTTTGAGAACAGCCTTTCAATCAGTTGTACACCCATCTCATAGTATCTTCATTTATACTACATTTCCCTAGCTTGCTATAAGAATGTGACCTGGAACAGTGTCAAAAGCCCTACACTCAAAATTCAAGATTTATCGTATCTACTGCTTCACCCATCCATTAGGCCAATAACCTTTTCAACAAAGGAAATTAGTTTGGTTTGACATGATTTGTTCTTGATAAATCCATGCTGGCATTTCCTTTTAACTTTATTATCCTCTAAGTGTTTACAAATGGATTGTTGAATAATTTGTTCCAGTATCTTTCCTGGTATTAAAGTGAGGCTGAATGGTCTATAATTTCTCTGCTCCTTCTTGTTCCCTTTTTAAAGAGAGCCACTGTTTTTCCTTCTTCAATGCTCTGACCAAACCCATCCTCCGAGTTCTCCAATATTATTGCTAACAGTTCCAAGGTTGTTTTAGCTAGATTTATACAAACTGTGCATGATTAACAGAATTGCACTGTGTACATAAGGCTATGTAGGACACATCATGTGTAGGCCTGGTCTACACTATCCAGGTTTGTTGATAAAACATATGTCAACACCTAATAGTGGACAAAACAAAAATCGCCAATGGGTGGTCACACTTGCTCCCTCTGTTGACCGATCATGTTCACATTGGAGGCACCATCATCAACAGTGTGAGCAACACATTGTGAGTATGTATCTCAGTGCAACGTCATGGGAAGGCGAAGTTGATTCCTGCACATCTTGGGATTCCCTCAGAGTTTTCCCACAGCCTCCTCAACTGCCGGGAACAGCCCCATGAGTAGCTTTCTGAGGTCTCTGTGCTGAGGAATGCCAAAACAGTACAGCAGTCTCTACCCTCAGTTTCACCCCTCTCTGCAACCTCAGTCTGCCTGTCACTGAGTTCCTAGTGCATGGTAGAACTGGAGTATTCTAATGATTTGATCTTTGTTTTCCAAACGGAGCTGCTTACTCAGCTACCAGATAGTTTCTGGAGCTTTGAAAGGGGAGGGGTACATGGTTGCAGGGCAGCAGAGATCAAAACACTGAGCAGAGCAATCAGGGCAGGCATTGTGAGATGCTGGTAGAAGCCAGTTGTCACAATACAAACAGAAGTGTCTACCTTGGCTCTTTGTCAACAATAAAGGAGGGAAAAGAAAACAAAGGTTCTCATAGGAGTCTACATTTTGTGTCACCGAAAATAGGCATTTTTTCCAACAAAAGTCATATTGCAGAGTGAACATTCTCACTGTTTTGACACCAACAAGCAGTTTTTGGTGACAAAACATGGTAGTGTGGACAATGCCTTAGTGTACAAGACAAATATTTTAATGAATATACCAAGACATCAATTAGGAAAATAAGTGTAAATGTAAACTGTGTTTAAAATTTTTCTTTTTAAAAGATTGCAATATAACCTGGTTTAGTAAAAATGTTTTGTGGGATATACAAAGACTGTTTGAATTAGAATGCATGGCGATTGTACCCTTTGATAGAATGGTTATTTGCAAGGATTGCTGATAATTTGCATGCACCCTACATGTGATTAAAGGTTAAACAATTTACTTTAAAGCTGAGGAAAATTATCCTACAACTGTTCCACTTACATTTCAATAAAGCTTTCATAGCAAGATAGGAATGCTGTTTATTAGACGCACTGCAAAACATGCAGGGCTTTTATCAGGGGAGCTGTGTGACTGACTTCAGTAAAAGCAGGTTCCTACTTGTATTTATTGGAGTGTCCATTGTACAAGAGCTTTCTGAAGTCTCTATATGTGTATGTAAATATCCCCTCAGCATTATTCAATATCCCAGAGCCTGTACTCGTTATTCAGATTATTGCAATTATAGGAAGTGTAATGAATAAGCAGGCAGTGATGCTAAACATGCTGCATGTTTCTCTCTTAGCTCCAGTTTTTTGGAACTTTATTTCATTATGTCACATTAGGGCCCAACCCTGTGAACTGCTGAGCAGCCTCAACTTCAGGACATCAAATCACAAGATAATGGCTTAATTTTCCATATCAAAACCATGTTTTTTCTTCTCCAAATTCTCACTACTCTCATGCATCCATCTCCTCCTCTTCCCCACTTCCATAGCCCACATCTGCATTGCCAGATGCTAGCTGTCAGCTTTACTAGTTGTCAGCTTTATTATTTCTGTATTCATTTTGTTGCTGCTCTCGTTTCCTTTGCACCATTTACTCAGCATGTATCACAACAAATAAATATAATGTTTGTAACTTAAATGTAATACAATACATATCTATATCTATTCTTCTTCGTCCTTGCCACTTCCCTATTAAGGGTCGGCAACTTTCTGCAGCATTCTTCCAAAACTCACGCTATCAGACTGGTCCAGCAACATCTGGTCCATGGACTGTATCTTTGGACTTCCCTCTTGGCTGTCTTCTATCCAATATCATTACAAGTGGCATCCTTCCAGTATAGCTCTCCAATCTCTACTGGCTACACCCACACCAACATGGCCTAGACCTCCGTTAACTTGTCTTCAGTTGGAGAAAACATGCCCCTTACAAACATGTTTCATTCCCTATCAGGAAGTGTCTAAACATTTTACCAGCTCAACATCTTCATTTTCATGACAGAAAGCAAACTGATTTCCTTTCTTGTGACTACCCACATCAAAGTATATAGTTTTACACCTTCTACCCTACTGGCATTTTTGTCACAGAGAACTGGGATGAGTTGCCATTGGCATTACTCTGCTTCAGGATGATCTTGGTATCAGGAGAGCACCAGCAACCATTTAGTCTAATGGCTGACATACTTCCACTCTTATAAGCTCTCAGCCAGCAATATCCTTTGTGGTGAGTCCTCCTCCCTCGGTTAGAGCCTTGGTCAGTATTCATGCTAGCATAATGTAACATGGTCGAGTAAGTGACAAAGATACAAACATTCTGTTCCAATACCTCTGATAGAGACAAATACCTACAAGACCTTTATCAAGCATTCTTAAAATTACAATACCCACCTGGGGAAGTGAGGCAGCAGAGTGACAGAGCCAGATGAGCACCCACCTACTACAGGACAGGCCCAACAAGAAAAACAACAGAACACCACTGATTATCGCCTAACAGCCCTCAGCTAAAACCCCTTCAGAGCATCATTGACAATATACAACCCATCCTGGAAAACGATCCCTCACTCTCAGACCCTCACCAGCAGCCCATACACCACACCAAAGGAACACTTACCCAGGAACCAATCCCTACTATAAAACTTGTTGTCAACTCTCTCCATGTAT